ATCTGGGCTCCTGTCATCTTAGGAAGGCAGGGTCGCGGATTAGCCCTAAGAGGGCATTACTAGCTAACTGAAAAAAGAGTACTTGTAATGTTTCACAAACATAACAAGCCACTTCTCCAGGTGCCAACATGCCCAGGTTCAACTCTTTGAGCAGGTATCTCCAGTACCCACAGTGGGCAAATACAGAGGATGTACCCTCATGTGCTCTGCCCTGGGGTGACTCCATGTAGAGAAGTTGAGAGTGCACAGAAACAACAAATCTTCAAAACCGAGGCCAGTGAGTTTCAAAAGGGATGGGTCAGTTTTGCTCAGATATCTGGATATCATTTTAAACAAAGGAGAAAAGCAGAATAATCTTTTAAAAAAGCATGCTTCTCTCTAGGAGGGAGAAGGGAGCCATTCAAGACAATTTGAGAACCATACTACTATCCTACTCTGTGAAAGTTGCATTCTTCCACCAAGCAGATAATGAACCCTTTGCATAGCAATTAAAATCATTTGTCTTTTATCTCCTTCTTGCTAAAAAGGACCCCAGCACTAACTAGTTAATCCCTAACACACACTGCTGCTCCCAGAGTTGCCTGGCAACTACCAGGAGGCGTGTCAGAGAGCAAGAAAAGGCCTAAATAAATGAGCTGGAGCCTGTGCTGGCTTGACATGGATAAAGAGGTTCTCCGAACAGGGCTTTTTGGATGCTTGTGGTTCTGTCATTTAAGTGGGAAAAAGGAGTTGGTTTGGCCAACATTGTTAAATACCCTGGGCTTTGCCACTGATGTTTTCCAGGTAACTGAAAAGTGGATCACATGCCCCTGTGATCTGTGGACACCTTCCCTCTTCCAGGGAGAAGCTAACTCCAGAGCCTCCAGATAGGACAGGGAATAATACATGCACATGGAACACAAGCCCGGGGTCAACCCCTGCCTCCAATACCACTTTGACATTCATATCTTTCACCCATTCTTCTATCTAATGGGTTAAAATACACTGGCTGACACCTACATTCTGGGCCATGGCTTATACTTGGCACAGGATGGAACATGTGAGAACCAATACAGACATAGGCCAGAGAGTGCAGTGGAAGAAACTGTCTTGGAGTTTCCTTCTGCTCTCCTACACTCTGGGGAGACACTGCCCAGGAGAGCCTCAGCCCCATCTGTAAAATGGACAAGGCAAAGTTCAGGTAAATTGGGTAGATTGTCGCTGGAAAGCCAGCTGAAGGTGAACTACACTCTGATTTGTGGAAAGACGCTGAGGAAGGATAGACACAGTTGTTCTCTCATCTTCTCATTTTTTGACTAAGGGAAGTCCTTTTTAAACAGCTCACCTGGCCCTGAAAAGACCCACCCATCCCAGGTTAGGCCCAGTATGAAGCAGCCTCAACAAGAGGGCCTTTTCCTTTCTTCTGATGCCAGAGAAAGGCACTCTGAATGTTTCCAGTAGGAAAAAACTCAAAAGGTTCTCAAGTGAGCTCTAAGCCATAGGCAGGAGCCTTTCAGGGGTGGTCCTTCTACACAGGCAAGCAGGGATCAACTGGCCCCGCAGTAGCTTCCCAAATACTTCTAGCTGGAGAGGAATCCTTGTGAGGAACAGGAGACAGGCTGGCTGTTCTGAGGCTGGCAGGCAGGCCCTGGGCTGGGCTTATTTAAGTTTCACTACAATCCTGCATGAAGCAGGCACTGCATGGAAAGAAACTAAGGTTCAGAGGTGTGAAGGCACCCTAGGTCACAGCTTTAGGAGCAGAGCAGACAGCAATGCAAGTGGTTGCTCTGAGTTCACCAGTTTCCTACTACCACAGAGCCCTGTTCTGGGTGGGAGGCCACCACACCAGTCTGAACAGCAACACTCAAATATGAAGAGCAGGCGTGGCAGAGGGGCCAGCAGAGACTCCTGGGCTACTGAGGGTCCTCTTCTCTGCAGGTTCTCTCTCAGTCTTTTGCTCCTCCACTCTGCTGTGTACCCAGTCACCCATTTCTTTTCTCCTCAGCACCAAAGCCTTAAATATTTTTGGATCCTTTGACTCAGTAAATCCATGCTAGGGAAAATGCTTAAGAAAAATCATTCAAATTATACATTAAGATTTAGGAAAAGATGATCTTATCAGTGTGACTTAAAATTTGGAAATCTCAACAAAAGTCAATAAAGGCCAGCAACAGGATAATGTGTGGTCCCTGGCCCTGATTTCAGATCACAGGAACTAGATAACAATCTGTCATTGAGCTTACATATTTACCCTTTTGGAAGCCTCCCAGGTAACTGTGGTCCAGAGGCTTTCATCAATGATATTTGATAAGAGATTTTATATGATGTAAAAAGTGCTTACTCATAACTAAAAGGCAAAAACGACTAGGAAATGGGATACTGGATTTGTCAAGGATACCTCAAAAGCTTTAAAGAAGTAAACAAAACTAAACTAAAACTCAAGACTCCAATCAAAATGAACCAAAAGCAAATAGAAGACAAGAGACACCACTTCAACTCTAGATGATGGGACCAGGGGGCTTATTTCTAGTTCTGTTTCTTAAAACATTTTAGCCAAGAACAAGTGCTGTTTATTTTATTTTATTCTCTCAGTGCAATAGTTAGAACTCAGGGCCTTGTGCATACTAGGCAGGCTTTCTACTACCGAGCTACATCTCCAACCTAACTATCTAGTCCTAACTAGGTAGATAATGCACATTATCTATCTATCTATCTATCTATCTATCTATCTATCTATCTATCTATCTATCTATCTATCTATCTATCTATCTATCTGTCATGAGTATGTGTGGGTGTGTCTATGTGCTTGAAGAGTGTTGTTCATGAGACTAGAAGAAGGTACCAGATCTTCTGATGCACAAATTACATACAGGTGGTTGTGAGTCACCTAATGTAGGTACTGGGAACTGCTCAGGTTTTCTATAAGAATAATATGCATTCTTAACTACTAAGCCATCTTTTTAGCTCCAATTGGTACAATTTTATAGGCATACAAATGGCTAAAAGATACGATCAATGGGAAGCATTCCTGTCCTGTAGCACTGTCTGCCCCATATCCCAGATCATTACCTAACATGCCATTCTTACAGCCTTGCAGTAGCTTTTCACATTCATGTGTGCTCTGCAGTCATTCTAAACAGTTTTGCAAGAGGACCTGTACTATTCCATTTTTCAGATGAGGAGAAACTGATATAATTAAATTTACAAGCTTAAAACCCACTTAGGTAACAAGGTGATCACTATCAGCACAACACTTAAATGGGAAACTTCAGGCCTTCTGGTTTTCCATTTTGCTTTACAGACAAAAGCTACTCTTGCACAGATGAATGAGAGTGAAAGCATGATGGTTCTGTCATATCTCATCGATTCTTAGATAAAAACTTCCCACTGAAACATGGATGTGTCTGATAATTGATGTCATGCTCTCTTTTCTTTAACACCACAGCAAAGGTACATCTACAACAAAGGAGTATCTTATGACCAAATGATAACATAGATTCAAGGAAATGTGCCACATCTACAGCCAAACCTGTATGTATGTGTGTGTGTGTGTATAATATTATATCTATAGTATGTATTACGCAGAGTTATACAGATACATAAGGCATCTTACCAATGTTTACTGTGAACATTAAGTCTTTGCCAATTCATTTCCATTACAAATCCCACTGATATGAATACCATGGTATCAGGCTTTCCCCTTTCTTACCAGAAGCATCACCATCCTCTCTCCTCTTCCCAATCTCAGGAGCCACTTGACATTATAAGCCATGTGCCTCCTATATTTCATCTATTGCTTGGTCAAGTCCTTTCTTCCACCATGGAAACTTCTCCTGGTATAGCCCAATATTGTCTGACTGCTCAAACCTGCCATCAGCATATCACATCTTCACTCAGAACAATATGCTCCTACAGAGTAAAGTGCACACTCCTAGACAACATCCAAGCCTCTGCCACATCTGGCTCAGTTCAACCTCCCACTCCAGACACAGGAGTATTGCCGCTAAGTCGTAATATGCTCAACAGCCCACATTTGCAGCATGGTAGGGCATTTCAGTTCTGTTCCTTCAAGCCTCACTCATCAGACCCCATGCAGGTCTCACCTTTCCTCTGACAAATTTTAGGGCTTGTGTGATGCTGACAGCAACCAGACGTGACAGGCAAGCAGGCTTATTCAAATTTTGCAGGTGAAGAAAGTAAAGTTTAACCTCATGGAGTGATTTTTTCAACTTTTATAAATCTAAGAAGTATAAAGCCATCCTTTAAACTCCTGGGTTTCTGCTCTTTAACCCAGAGCCTGTCAGTCAATCTCAACCAAAAACAACTACTCTGGGGGCTCATATGTCCAGCTCGTATCTAGCAACATGGATTCTAGAAATGCATGTGAAAACTATGAGGTAAGTACCAGGGTGAAAATGTGTCCAGCTTGCTGGGTCCAATCAACCCTGGAGAAATAGTGGGCCAGCTCTTCCACTCTCCTAGACAGGGGTGAGGACAACATTTTCCTTAATTATACCAACTCTTAACACTTGATTGGTTTGCCTGGGCCCAAGATCATGTCAGAATTGGAGCTGTGTGTTGCTGTCATTTAAACCATGATTATATATACAAGAGCCATCAAAAAGTGAATCTCTAGGATGAGGAGACCTTTTGAAAGACAGGGGGCAGTGAGGCATAGGACAAAATCATGAGCTTTGGAACTGTTGGCAAACCATTCTTTTCCCTGAACCCTTGGTGTTCTCATTTGGAAAGTAGAGCTAATTGTCACTATCAGTTGACCTGTGAACCTTCAGTGAGAGCTGGACAACCATGAAGGACCTGGCATGTGATTTAACACAGGCAGGGGGGTGCTTTCAAGTCTTCCCTTCACAGAAACAAAGGCCTCGTAAGACTCCTTCACCCAAGACCCTCTACTACACACAAACACACAACACACCTTCTTGAGGTGAACCAAGGATTTTTCATAGCCATCGGATCCCTAACCAAACATGGATGCTGTCACACGCGACGAGGCTACTCACCGGCTCAATTTTCAGTGCATTCCGGTAGCTGCCAAAGAAAGCAGCCTGGGCTTTGAGAAAGGCTCTGGCCACCCCATCGCCTGTGGTTGTAGAGACCTTCTTCAGCCTGTTCTTCAGGGAAGAGATCTGGTGACATGAGAAAGAAGACAGTGTGAGAGCAGGTTACAGAAGGACAGATGGCTGAGTCTGGCACCCAGGACAGGGTCAACTTGGTGGGAAAAAGTGTCCTCAGCATTAGGGCTTGCTGTGGTATATTTTATATATCTCTAAAAGCACTCATTTAGAGAATACACTTTGGTGGTCTAAGTGCTGCACTATAATCACAACCATCGAATTCTACAACATTTCACCACCTCCAGAAGAAACCTCATGTCCCACCCTCATCTGGACAACTATCTACCTTCCCTACCCATGCTGCATAAGTCATGTGCATGAAATTACAGGACCAGCAGGTAGTCACACATGACCAGATTCTTCCATGTATCACAATGCTGTTTTTTTTATAGTCATAGATATGAGGTCTTCATTTCTTTCTGTGGTTGAATAATATTCTATTGTACACTACATCTTATTTGCCAGTTTCTGCTTTGGGATGATGAATACTGGGTACTGGTGGCTATTATAAGGATTCATGGTACGGAGACAGCAGAGGTTTGGGTGCAAGAACCTGATTAGCAAAACTCTTCTGTTGCTGGAACTTGTGCAGTGAAGATCAGCTAAAAGGACTGGTGAAGTTACAGAGCACAATGCTAACACAGTCAGTCATTAAAATATGGTTAACTAAGTAAAGGGAATACTTCTGTGAGGTTGCTATATGGATGGGTCATTTGCCTGGACTATAATAAGGCCAGAAGGTACAGGAACAAGTGCCAGGGGCCAGCTACTATAAAGTGAGGGATAAGAGAACACAGTCTCTATCTGAAAGTAGTTAGGCATCTATCATAGCATGTATGTGTGTATGCGCATGCACATTGAGTGCACATGTACTGCTCTGCTGTGCTTCCCTTTCTGGGATCACAGACTCAAAGGTGGCAGTACTGAAAGCCCCTGAGGGTCTCTTGACCCCAGGTAGGTTCTGTCATGGATTTTCAACATGAGAAAAAAAGTATGAAAAAATATGCTTTACTAAAATGTTAAAAAAATAATTACCTATTCCACACCCCCCCCCCAATAATAAAAACCTTGTCCCTTTTGAGGACAAGGATGACATTTCCATCCTTTGAAACAGTGCCTGTGCTGTCACTCTTCTGGTTCCTCAAAGGCCTTGGGCCACCTGTGCTGCGGATTATTCCTCACTTAACCTTCCCTGGCCTTTCCCTTTCATTCAGAAGGTGTTTAATTACCTTGGATTCACAAGCTGTACTTCAGGTGAGCCTCTCCTAATGGCCTCATTACCATCTTAAACAAAGAAGGAGTCACTGATGGTAACTGAGCAAACAGAAGAGAGCTCCTTCCTGTCTGCCCCTGTTGGTCTGAAGCTAACCAAGTGGTCCTGGGCTCCTGACACCCCACGAGCACCTAGGCCAAGACTTCTAAAGACCTTGTTCATTCTGAGCCATGGTGAAGCTTTTGTCTTGACCTGACAGCACTTCAAACTTTTAAACTGCAAGTCTATGTGTACCTAATAGCTCAGAATTGCATTCTGTCTCTTAAATAAAAGCAAGGGAAGAAAATAGAAGGATTAAATAACTCGCCATCATACATCTAAAGCTGAACTAGCCCTGAGTGTTCCTGGGGTGCTGGTCAAATCATTACATAGGGGGTTTTCAGGGGTAATTTGGGGTAGAAGAAGTATCAGTGAGGATAGCTTCCTCCTTTTAATCAGTTGCCACAGGAGGAAGACAAAAAACAAAGGGAAGAGGGCACAAGGCTGTCTCAACAGTTCCTCGCCACTGCAGCCCTCTTCCTCTGCAATCTCTCTTGGGCACTGCAGCACAATTCAGCCAGCTCCTGAGCCATAGACCAGATCTACACCTCTTCATCCCTGCGCGGAGCTGCACACATCTCATCAACACCATCCCAAACCTGCCCTCACCTTTCAATGAACATGACTTTGGCCCTGTGAGGTACAGCTCAGTTCACTCTCTGGGTGAGCTATCTGCTTTTACTTTCTTCTCAATGCCATCTATCTATGGCTGTCCTAGTAATCTTGTAAATAATCAAATACAACCATTTTAATCCTGGACCAAATCCCCTGGCCATGTTAAGAGGAGGTGAAGCCAGTATCCAGGGCTACCGTGACCACACTACTTACTATTTAAAAATGCTCCTTGTCAGAAAAGAATTTCAGATGCACAATGGGACAGATTCAGACATAAAAGACCTCTAAATGGGAGAGAGTGTTTAAAAAATGTAGTAGTCTTGGGAGAGAGAAGAAAAGAGTATAGACAGTTACAAAAAGAAATGCTTTAAAAAATAAAACAAAGTCTTTAACAAGACAGTAAAAGTAATATAAGAGTATGACAATCATAGATTAAAGGAGTAAAGAAAAATAAGCCATGTAAAGATGGAAAATACACAGAAAGTCTGGGTTATGCATATTATTGTGTTTTCTTTGAATTTTTTGACTTGCAGAGAAATATTTGATCCTGGGGGCTGCTAAGCTAAACCAACATGTATATTTTAACTTCATTATATTTTGACCTCAAAAATTGGGTCTAAGGATATGTTGCTTTGGAAAAGAGGTTCTGCTTTTGTTTCCACAGAAGATAAGAACCTGTGGATTCCTTCCAGGCTAATGTGGTTTGGTGGAACAAGACCCCCCAAAAGATCTCCATGAACCCTAAAAATGTGTCACCCAACAAATAGCATGAAGCAGTTTGGAGAAAGCTACATCCAAATTCCCAAAATGATTGTTTATAAATGTTTGTTTTTATTTAAAGGAGGCTAATTTTAAATAATTAATAATCATAAACAATTTAAAAAATAGGGGGATATGATATAGAAAATTTTGTATTGGTATGGATCTTGGTTTATTGATACAAATTTAAGGTCAACTTTGTTATATGTATATTTCTGCTCTTGATTAAGATACTGTGTTTGTGCAGCTCATTTAAAAATGTAATGTATAATTAAGAAATACAGGTTAATAGATAGTCATCTGTAATAGTCAAGCTTGTAGTCATGTTAGTTAGGTTTTCAAGATGAACAGAGATATAATTCAGATAAGTATTTTTCAAACCTTTCAAAGACTTATAGAATATGGCATTTAAACGTTTTAAGAACTTAGGACTTTTCATGACAATGAGACACATCTGCTCCTGGCAGCACCAATCTACTTCAAGAGGATGATGGGCATCAAAGAGGATCCTTATGGAGTTTGCTAGCCATTTGGGCAAGAAATTGCTCTTGCCTGGACTGCCTGATGGTATGCTGAATGAACTGGACATGCAGGACCCACAGAAAAATGACTGCTAAAGTTGCCTAAAAAAGGTAAGACAGTCCTTCAGGGTTCCTGCTATATAAAAGAGTCAGCATGACATTCTGCAGGATATAAAAGAAAGTGACTGACAAACTGCCAATACAGGCAAAACTGTCTTTAAAATTTCCTGCTTCATGGAAAAGTCTGCTAGATACTATGGGCCTGTAGGCTGAAGATGGATGCCCCAATGTTACAAAAGAACTTTGGGTGACTGTCCAGGCAGCGAGATGTCTCTGTCAATTTTAGAGTTTTAGAAGTTGCTTACAATGTACTTCCTGTTTACTTAGAGAGTATTATATCCTTCTGGAGTCTTTTATGGAGTTAAAGAATAATTACAGTTTTCCTTAGTTATGATAAAAGATAAAGTAGATTTAACTATTGTAATTTTAGTTTTTGCTTGATACCTGTTTTGATATATGTACTTTTACTATGTTAAAGTTAAAAACCTTCCTTTTTAATTAGACAGAAAGGGGAGGTGATGTGGGATTCCTCTCTGTATGCGGTGAATACCATTAGTCAATGAATAAAGCTGCTTTGGGCCTATTGCAGTGCAAAATAAGGCAAGGAGGGAATTCTCAGCAGACAGAGGAAGAGAGAGTAGGCGGAGTCAGGGAGAAGCCATGTAGCCACTGCAGGAGACAGATGCTGGATGAAACCTTACCAGTAGGCCACAGCTACATGGTGATACACAAATTAATTCAATGGGTTAATTTAAGATATAAGAGCTAGCCAATAAGAAGTGTGAGCTAATAGGCCAAACAGTGTTGTAATAATACAGTTTCTGTGTGGTTATTTTGGGTCTGGGCAGATGCGAAACAAACAATCAGCCTCCACAAACACCTGGCATCTGGACCTTCCCTATCACCAGCTTAGACAAGGCTGGGCTGCTTAGACAAGGCTGGGCAGGCTGTCCTACTGGCTCATTCCTACCTGCCTTGATTGACCTTATACTGGACCCACTGATACGAAATCATTCTTTGGTTTAGCCCATGCATACAGACTTTGTCTCTTGTCCCTGCTCATCCTGTTATGGACATCTACTTACTCTTTAAAAGACTGTCCACATCTGTATGATCAGGGTTCATGAAATGATCACAGCTTTAAGATAAAAGTACTGTATGTTGGAAGTGGCAGAATTCCAAGCCAACATGAAAAGACATTTTCAAATGGTGGTGGTGGCACAGGGGAGTGGAGGTGGGATGTGAATGGCAATGGATGGGATGGGGGACTCAAGCTGAAGAACAGTGTATATAGCATGAATCATTTATTAACTCATGTAAATACATACATGTGCAGTAAAAACCAGAAACGTCATGTACCAACGGTTAACTATGTAAGGATGCTTTCACTTTGTTCTATAAAATTGATTGTTTTGATTATTTTTTATAAAAAGCATGTTATTTTCATAATAAAGAAGTAGAGTGAGGGGGCTGGAGAGATGGCTCAGAGGTTAAGAGCACTGACTGCCCTTCCAGAGGTACTGAGTTCAATTCCCAGCAACCACATGGTGGCTCACAACCATCTGTAATGCCCTCTACTGGCACTATATATGAATACTGTATACATAATAAATAAATCTTAAAAAAAAAGTAGAGTGAGGTATTTTTAATAGTCAAATTAGTCATTGCCTTGTGGTAAGGGAAAGGGAATCCAGATGCCCCCCCCCATCTGTGAAGCCTCTTTTGACCATTACGCTAGGCCTGTA